AATATCACAAATGCTCGACGTCGGAAAAAATGTCCACAGTGCAATTTATCTTGGATGCTACAGATGTGCTTTACTGCTTCAATTTTATCATTTTTTCAACCTTCAAATCCTAATAATACAATTATTAAGAAGACATGGAAATGTAATGGATATCAAGGGAATTAGAGAAAATAAATTATAAATAAATGAACCGATCAGATTATTGATATAAGTTTATACAGCTTTAGAGAAAAATTAAAGTTGAATTAAAAAAGAAATGGAATTTGTAGCTATGTGAATAAGATGGACCACCTACTATCGATCCTCACCTTTCTTCTATTTCGTAACCATTAATTAGCAGGTAGCATTTCCCAAACAACATGGCCATGTGCAACAGCCAACTGTTATAAACTTAACTTCAGTGCATCATCGATCCAATAACAAGTAATGATGCATAATTTATGGACAGTTGCAATTAATGGAAATCCTTTTCTCTTTTTTCAAACTGAGTTAAATCTACAACTACCTTATAATTTCATTTCGTTCTATGTTCAATTTACCATATTTATCTGATCACATTTAAATTAAATAGGTTATCTCGAGTAGATAATCCTTAATTATTGTTACTGAAAGTAGAAATGACAGGATGGTTTTCCACTGCTTAGGCTTCAAATCAAATAATTGTCTAATAACTTTTTTCGAAAACCATTCTTGGATTTTTTGAGGAACATTGGATGTCAAAATGATCTTTCATAGTGATTGCTCAATGATTCCATTTTATAGAGATCGTGCAGTGCGTCCTCAATACAAGATTGAAATACTCACTCAAACTATTTCGGTATTAGTTCCTGTTGAAAAGATAATAACACATTCAAACTTCAGATGTCAGAGAATGATCCCACGCTACATGTTTCCAACACTTCAAGGTTGATTATTTTATCAGGACATCACTTAACCAGGTCTCATATTCAATCTAAGTATTTTTACATTATCTGATATGAGCATTCATATTGGTCTAGAAGAAGAAATATTTTCGGATTTTATAAAAGCACTTTTTAAGTTCTTTTCAGCTTCGAAACTTTGGAACAGTTAAAAGAGGAAAATGAGTTCGAGAAAGATATCGTCCAAGTGAGACTAATTGATTGTTTTTACTTAAGCTGAAAATTAAAATAGCAGGGGAAGGAAAAGCCAGAGTGATTTTAAAATGATCCGAAAGCATTAATAGGGAAGCCTGGAATGAATTAAAATATGAGAGGGGAATTAAGAGTAACTATAAATGAATTAATAGCAAGTTAAGGGAATAAGGGTTTTTGAACATCAACAGTTGAAAAAAAAAATTTTCTTTTTTTTTTGTTTTGCTGACAGCAATGAAAAATATGGTAAAGGAGAGAGATCAAAAAAGGAAGTAATTAGCATTAGCTAGCCTGGGTGTAAGGACGAAGGATAAGGATGGGACTACAAAGGAGTACGTTGGAAGGACGAAGAAGAGCGAACAACATACAAATAACTGGCCTAGTGATTTCAAAGTAGGCTGGAGGCCTCTATTCATACAAGATCGATCTGACGTATTACATGCTGCTCTTACTGCTTCAACTTCAATCTATAGCATACCATTGAGTTACGTCTGTTCTTCATATCCTCCTCCTCCTCCTC